TCAACAACTCTGCTGGCAGGATATTGACATCCTTTGCACTATTAAGGTCTTCATCAACATTCAGAGAGAATGAAACTGCTGGAAAACAGTTAGAAAAAAACAAAAGATGGGAAATCAGTAGAACAGTGTACAAGTCCACTGGTAACATCACTAGAGATAGTCTTTTTACCTCCTGCAAGGCAGCCTGCCTTTAGTGTGTGGTCAGAACTTGTCTATGCAATCACTGTGGTTGTCACCTAGTATTCAGCTCATTTTATAATGGTTTCTTAAGCATGGAATTCTCCTGTTAAATTGTCTAGACTCTAGACCATTACACTGAAATGCCAATTTGCCTGTCATTGCTGCTGCATGACCAGACACTTGTGAATTAATAAAGAAAATAAATTGTCGTAGTAAAGACTGCTTCAAGTGATGCTCCTTGATATGTATTTGTTTTTTGAATAAAAACTGAAATACTTAAAGTTCTGTGCAAGTGGCACCTAATAAGTGACACAGCCATTATCTTTGTTACATACTGAACAAATGACACCTGGCAGCTCATGACAGTTGCCTTGTAAATTGGTAAGGAGTCATTATACTTTGGGAAATTGTATTTAAAAAAAAAGGTAAGATGTGCAGTCATTTATGCAAAGAAGACACAAACAGTAAAAATCATGAGTCAGTGTATATATGTAAAGTGTCATTTTTTAGCCCACCTAAAGTTACGGTAGCTAAAAAAAAAATACAAAATGGATGTATGGTTAATTCTGTACTTCTGCTATTACATTCACTTCTACCTTCCTGCATTCAGACACTTTCAGGAAAATGTGACCATAGGAAATGTTGTTTAAGATGTCTGTGTGTGAAGGATAGATAATACCTGGTGGTTGGATAAATTAGTTCTGATAAAGGTATGAGAGCATATCATCAGAATCAAGACTGTAAGATAATGTAGACTGCAGATAAAGGATGTTAGGAAAAGGGAGCAAGCTAGAGCCAAATTTCATAGGTCTAAATCTTGATTACACAAATATAAATAGCACCATAATAGTAGAGGTTTTTTTCAATTTCATTCTATTGTAAAATATTGATATTTTTCATTACAAGCTTTTACATTTCAGTGTTTATTACAAAATTGGGTACCATGCTGCTAATTATAATAAAGTCTGAATATGATATGTATCCTTCAGCTAATTTGTTGCAAGACTGATATTAATTTTTATGATCTTGTTAAAAACAATCATGAATTGTTGCATTTAACCCTATTAATATGGGTGGCTAGGGGTCACAGGGCATGTCATCACATTTGTAGACTTACATTCAAAATTTTCTGAATATTTGTCAATAAACCTGGTATCAAATTGTAGATTTTAATTAAAATGTTAGTATTATACATCACAAATTTCTTAATTTGAAAGTAAATTATAAAAAAAGAAAGCTATTTATAAATTTTTGTGTCGCACTGGTACGTCATCTTCTGGGTTTGGTCAGATTACATTTTATGATACTCATAATACAATGTCTATAGTATCATACGAATTATAAACTCAAATTTCCGATATTGGCAAGCTAGAATGTAAAATAAGAACCTCCTACCTTTTCTATTTGCTGAGATATCATAATATTAATCAAATCCACCATATTGGCTCTATCCCACCACTTCATCATTTGAGAAGATTTGTTTATCTACGCCTGCTTTTTTATACCTTCAAGTTTATAATCAATCGAAAGCTCTACATTTCCTCTACATAATTCTGTTGTCTTTCTAAGTTTTTTGTGAAAGAAAAGCTTTTATATTGTTAGAGAGTTTGAAGTATTGTAATCAATGCTATTTTCCAAACAGAAATAAGATTTTTTTAGACCCAAATACAGCATAGTTAGAAAACCTGTTAACTTACAGTAGGTTTTTATGGTAACAGGATAGTCCTTTATAATTTTTTAGTATTCAAAAATGCATATATAAAGTCTACAAAATTTTGTTTTTAACATGTGAATTTGGACAAGGCTTATGACGAGGGTTAGCAACTATGTATGATAATCGAAACCTCACTGTACCTTATAAAATTTTGGAAACTACGCATTTATCGGTTACTATGTAAGCATGGTAAAATAGGAAACAGGATGGTCGTGAGCACTTTCACACCTATATTACCACTAAATCCCAACCACTGGAGTTTATTGGATCGGATGCAAATTTGTACAGGGCCATATCATAAATACTTTCTCTCACTTTTATATAGTTCTTCAGATAATTCTTGTTGCAACTGCTGTACTGTGTAAGCAAGCCAATAAATCCTACCCAACTGTGTTTTCAGAGCTGGGATTTGAATAGACGTCCATTTAGTGATCAACATTCAAATACCTGCCACATTTATTGGATTGGCCCAGACTTTTTATAAAGCCATAGCATAAGCATTTTATGATACTGTAGACAATTCTCATTGTAACCATTATACTGTCAAAAACTTGATCAGTCCTACCTCACTGTGATTTCAGAGCAGGGAAAGTTGTGGGAATTATGCCACAAAAGCTTATTTGATATTGATGGTGTCAAAATACTCAAAGTACAGTAACACTTAAACAGGAATGGTGATTCATTGCTTTATGGTCAACAGGTTTCTACTTCAGCTACTAACGGTAGAATAAACAAAGGAAATAGGTACAAAAGATTAGAAGAAACTCTTGGGAGATTTACTTTGGAACTTTATTCATTTTGATTCTTCTAGTTTCTAAGCCATCTGCTAGCTATAAAATAACTACAGAAAATATGTGTGAGAAGGTGAAAAGTGTAAACTCCGACTATAAATACTTTGAAATTCTGTGATCAATACTAATGATACTATACATTTTATTTTTGATTTGTAACCTTTATTTTCATTATACTTTGATTACTTGCCAATAATATGGAGAAGCAAATATAATATTACAGTAAAGAAAATAACAGATAAAATGTAAAGCTTTACTGAAAATAAAAATGTTTGATATTTAGGTATGAGTTTTTTATTTTTCATTTGTGTTCACTATTTATTATCATAAAAGTAACTAAAATAAAATATACCCCGGTGTACTTAATTTTCAACTTGTGTCAGGATATTTTTAGTCAAACATGGTTCAAAAGTCAATAAAACAAAAATTAATAAATATATATAATTTATCCTGTTACGTGATTTAAGCTATTTAGAATAAACTTGTGATTTTATATTATAATAAGCAGTTATCATAAAACACACAAAAAAGGTAATTTAGATTTATTTCCTAATTTTTATGATGGTTACAAGGTCAGTCAAATCAACAAACATCATATAGAGCTAGCATTGATAAAATAATAGATTAAATATAAATTTTATTCAAAACACATTTGATGATTACCTAGAAGGATATAAAGATTGCACAAACAAAACTTGATAGTTTTTAGATAAAGAAAAGCATTTTTAATCTTAAAATGAAAATTAATTTGCATGTTGGATAGTCAACATTCTGAAAGAAATAATTCATGAGCAAATTTTTAATAGAAAAAATCTTAATACTTAATATAAAATCTGGTATTTTGTGTATGAAAGCCTTGTAGTGTTTACTAATAATCTGCAAAATTTTGTAAAGATACACTTATCAAAAATTATAGTATAATTACTGTTGTGGTTACGAGCTAGGTGAATTTCACCTAGTACGTATTCGTAGGGTTAATCAACTACTAAAGTGTTAGACTGCCCAAAGCCATGTTTCTCTGTAGAGTTCATTTAACTAGTTTGTACTGTTACAGCAACTAGAAATGGTAGTTACTACACTAAGTTGTATAATCATTGAACATACTTAATTGTGATGTTTAAATCAACTTGCTCATAGTGGAAGATGATCTTTATTGCAAAGTTGTATAAGAAATGTTTATTTTTTTGAAGTTCAGTGATAGGTCAGTGTTTTGTAAGCTAATTGTTTTACATTTTAGAGAAACTGTTTATGCATGCATATTATGTAAATAAAAAAGAATCAGATAGAATAAGGTATAACAGTTGTAGGTAAAATAATATAATATAGATGTAAAAAAATTTTTTTTTCAAAAAAGGATAAAGGGGGGGATGGCAGTGCCAAAAAGTACAGAAACAAGGTAGGGATGAATATAAAAAACCCTACATAAGTAGCCAAATCTTTCGGGTTTGAATAAAAGGATTTAAACTGAATAATGCTATAAAGTCTTACAATGGCTAATTCCCCTAAACGTGTAACTGAATTGACTCAATGGCTACTGACATAGGGATTTTTTTATGGTTTTGTGTATTTAACTCTGTCTTGTTTCTGTACCTTTTGGCATTGCAATCCCTACATTATGCTTTTTTTTTCAAAAAATGTTTTTCTTTGTTTCCCCCCATTTTTTTAAACAATACCAGTGAATATTTTTGATGAAGGGCATTAGTTTTAGCCTGGTGTGATGAGTTGTCTTGATGGACGTCATGCATTGAAGTTAGTGAAATGCTATACTGCTTTTTCACTCTCAAAGTTAAAATGCAACATTTTAGTACATGTCATTGCTACAACTTCAAGAGCTAGCCGTTGTGATGCTATAATCAGAATTATCAACAGCACATTTGGCTGTTATTTTACTTGTTTGATTCTCTACTTTAAACAATGTTTTCTGGCTAAACTGAAAGTCTTTATAGCTTTTAAGAACCTTGAAAACCCAAGTTAGGAGTTTATAAGTCTTAAATTGTTATAAGGTAGATTTGAGAATATGATGAGCTATACGTAATATGTGTCGGCCATTTTTTCATGGCCCATCCATACATGCTAAGCACTACTGTGCTTAATGATATCTCCAAAGATACAGCCAGATCATATATACACTAAGAAAATAAGTAGGAAAACTTTTTTTTTTTGGAAAATGTTCTTGAATTTTTATTAAATTAAATTCCTAAAAGTGGTTCCAGTAACTGTATATGTATATGTCTATATATGTATAGATGTTTATACTGAACAAATTGTGAACTGTGATGACATGGCATTAAATGAAGATGACTCTTGCTCTTTAGGTTGAAAATGAGCTGCGTGATATTTGTCAAGATATTCTGGATGTACTGGACAAACATCTTATACCTGCTGCATCAACTGGAGAATCAAAGGTGTTTTACTACAAGATGTAAGTTTTCTATCTTATGTTTTGCAGAAGCACTGCATGCTATAGATTGTTTCCTGTATACCCGTGATAAACTTAGGGTAACATGTACTTGTGAAGATAAAATGGATTTAAATTTGCATAGTTATGGATAGTTTAACATGCTATAATAAATACCTGAATTAGAAATATTGCTCAGTAATTAAATGTTAATAAACATAAGTATTACATATATAATATCCCTAGCTTCTGTTATTAAGAAAGTCTTTTTGTCTTGTGAACTTTAGTTTTAAAAAAAAATTATAATAATTGCAAAAGGAATTCAGTTGCATCAAAATTTAAAAAAACATTTTTCCTGTTTTTAGCCTTCAGACCCAATTTCAACTGAAGTTATATTTCAGCATCAGTAGAAATTGAAAGATATGTATGAAAGCTTTCATTGAAAATTTTTTATGAGATTTATTCTTGTAAAATAATGTTATGCAGGAGGCATAATGTGAATTGTTCAAAAAGGTTTTATGAGAAATATGGTTTTAATGTGAAAAAAGATCTGACATGAGTGATGCAGCTCTATCATTCCACAGAATTTATGAACAGTGTTAAAAGATATGGTGCTAAAAGTCTTCATACTAAGTTGTTGGGGCTGTTGTATGTTTTGCAGATCCCACCCATTCCAATATATGTATGACGTAGATAGCATGCTGTACAAAACTTGGTAGGTAGATAGGTAATTTTTTTTCTTTCAATTGGTTGGCAAAAAAGAGAAGGAAATACCACTAGTTCCTTTATCATCTAAAACATAACATGTTAACCCTATCACCCCAGGTACACTTTACTGCGCATGACACAAGGTTTTAGTGTCTTACATTTAAAATTTTATTAAACTACTTTTTGTTTATGTTGTACCAATTAGAATAGCATAAAATCTTAGCTAATAATCCATATTTTAATAGTATACAAGTCTTAAGTTCTTAATTCTACAAGGAAATGTATGAAAAATTCCTGAATTTCCACTTGTGCAACACACATGACACATTTTGTCTTAGCATGTCATCACCCCTATTTTATCCATCACCCCTTGAAAATGTACAAAATTAAATATAAAATACTCTCTATCAAATCGTTATTGCTCAAACAGACCATAATTTTTATAGCCTTCAATTTTGTTTTGTTACAGAGCTATCAAATAGAAAATCAGACCCCTCCTGCCACACCCACTTGTCATATCATCTCTTTCACAATTTGTTGATAGTTCTCTCTTACGCTTCATTATATATTACCTATAACCAGTAGAAAGTCCAGCTTTTCATCTATCAAATGGCGTATTGTATAACGTTGTGTTTTGAACAGATAACTGTCAATTTCACTCAGAGTAGCAACATCATTCCCGTGGGAAAGTTATTGACTAGCTTGGATGAATTTGTAACGGCTCTTGTCACATAGTTAGAAAGCCAGGAAAATTTTGAGAAGTAAGTGAATTTGTCTACTGTTTCATGTTATTAGTCTATTTTCTTTGGTGTATTATTTAATTAGATAAAAATTAAGTGCTTTACTATAATCACTAAAAAAATCAAGTTTAACTCTCCTTCACAATCAAGGGCAAGAAAAAAGAAGGTGGGGTAAGTACTTTATTTCTTGTTTTTCATATTTATTCTTTATTTATTACTATAAAAGTAAATAAAATCTAAAAATATGGATCTTTTTAAGTTATTTAAGATTAGATTAGGTATAATAAGTAATAATAATTATATAATTAAACTGGTTCACGATGCACGCACGGGAGCAGCTCGTGGGTAATGTAATTCAATAGCATAAAGTGAGCTGCACGTTCCCCGCGTCATTTACAACTTATAATGGCGAGGATAGCAGTTACGAAGTTAGAGCTACTTAGAATAAACGAATGTAGTTTCAAGTTACAATCTGAAGTCATTCTGAAAAAAAAAAGGTTAATTTAGGTTTATTTCTACTTCCTTCCCCCCCCCCCGCCTTTTTGTGTGTGTGTGTGTTGTTTTTTTTGTTTTTTTCTCTTCTTCTTCTTTTCTTTTTTCTTTTCTTTTCTTTTC